GTATTAACGGATATAATTTTAGGAATATAACGTTCGACAAAAATTTGCTGATATTCGTACCGTCATCGAGGGTCAACGCAGATACTTATTTTCACGTTTCGGCGAACAACTTCTAAGACCATATTTCGAAAATTTTTATCGCCCTTTGAGAAAAAGACAAATTAAAGTTTGCAATTTCTTATTATAAAACAAATTCGGTGACTTGTTTCGTTGTAGAGTAAAACCATGACGATTCTGCATTGAAATTTTGTCATAGCAGAATTTCACGATTTGGTGATGTTTGCCGTCTACATCATACTTTCAAACGTAGTCATTTTAGCAGGAAAGGATAGTTTAATCGTTCGAAGTAAGACTACAATGACAGAAGTGGCCGAAAATGTTTTTACAAGAACCACAAACTTTCATCGCATCGATTCCAGTTTTGAGTAAAGATTTGTTTATTTTTAAACTTAGGATAACCAGTGTTTTTTTGTATCTATACATACATTAATGAAACTTTAATCCCTTCGATTCATCCACTCAGATGGTACGGAAACTTTGTAGTATCCGAACCTGGATTAATGGTTGATGTTGTGGATAAATGCATTGGTGTGGTCCGATTTCGACAACAAAGAATGAAGAAGAGACTGTGTGAGGTACCCTCACTTATGCAATTCTTGAATATGACATGTTTGCCAGAATTTGCTATCCCTTACACTGAAACTGGCACGTTTGGTTATAAATGGCGGAATTTTTCTCGTGTATGGCCTATGACAGACTGGTCAATGTCTGGAGGTACTACTACGAAAAAGACACAAAAACGTTTCCCGCTGTGGGTAAGTTACTAGCAAATTAGTACAGAATTCTGATTGGTATTTTTCCAAAACATTAAATTTGTAAGACCTGTCAACACTTATTCCAAGGTACTGTCGAGATATAATTGTGTGAGACTTGCAAAAGCACTGTCAGTGGTACTTCAACGGTAGACGACGGGTGTCATTTCTCAGGGAGATCTCCCATTTAGACTTAACACCAACTTATAAAGAAAAGCAAAAGTCAGAGGTGGACGTAGGACAACCACACAAAGCAAAGTGTAAATTTTTTTGCTCGCCGAGATATAGGTGGTACTTATTGGAACACGAGCCAACGTTTTCATACATCAAAAAATTAACAGTTAATCCTTTCAAATTTTTTAACGAATTATGCTTTAGTATTAATTTTGATTGGACCACCGAGATTAGAAATGAGGGACTGTTTAATCGAACATGACCACTATACGTTACCATGACCACTGAAAATGGTATGGAAACTTTGTAACATCCGAACCTGGGTTAATGCTCGATCTTGTCAACAAGTACATAGGTATTGTACGATTTCGACAACAAAGAATGATTAATCATGTGTGTGAAGTTCCTGAACTTATGCACTTCTTGAACATGACATGCCTGCCAGAATTTTCCATCCCGTACACCGAAACTCGCACTTTTGGTTATAATGGAGGAGTTTTACCCCGTACATGATCTTCGACAGACTTATTAACATCTGGAAGTACTCTTACGAAAAAGAGACAGAAACGTTTTTTGTTGTCGGTACGTTAAAAACAAGTTACAAACACAAAAACTCATTATTACGTAGGTCAATTTGCTACTTATTCTGGTGGTGTTGTTGAAAATAGGTATACTTTAAGACAAAGAAAGCAAAAATTAAGCCCCACCCACCCACCCTTGTCTCAGTTGTGGTCAATTTTTCATTCATTGTCAGATAGAAGGGCGGAGTTTAATTGCAAAGTTTATATTGCTGTACAAGAAACTACCAAGACAAACGTGTGTGGTATTATGGTATTTTTGAAAACGCACTATTTTCCGAAAAAGTAGCGAAAAAATATTCTTATTTCCTCAAAAGTAAAATTTACAAATAAGTTCCGCCCTCTGGTCTCACAACGAATAAAAAACGTACTGCAACTAAATTGGGGCGGGTGGGTGGAGCACATTCTTCAGTTTCTTTTTCTAAATATATATAGTTTTCTTTCAACGACACGATACTTAAAACATGTTTCACGTTGTAATTTCTCATAGAGAAATATAAACTTTTGAATTAAGCTCCGCCTCTCGTCAGACGACGAATAAAAAAATTAATCACAATTGAGATGAGGGTGGGTGGGTGGGGCTTAACCTTTGATTTTCTTACTACATATACATAGTCTTCTTTCGACAATAAGATACTTAAAATATCAAATGCAAATTTGAGGTTAAAATTATGTTTTAAATATGGTGTTGTTGAAAGTAGGTCTACTTTAAGAAAAAGACGCCAAACGTTAAGCCCCACCATCTCAGTTGTGTTTATTTTTTTATTCGTTGTGTAATAGAAGGGCGGAGTTTAATTGCAAAGTTTATATTGATGTACAAGAAATTAAAAAGAGAAACATTTTCGTGGTACTACGGTATTGTACAAAACGGACTACTTTCCGAAAAAGTAGAGAAAGAATATTCTTATTCTCTCTAAAGTAAAATTTGCAATTAAGTTTCGCCCTCTGGCCTCACAACGAATAAAAAAATTAGTCACAATTGAGATGGGGTGGGTGGGTGGGGCTTAACCTTTGATTTTCTTAGTACATATGCATAGTCTTCTTTCAACAATCAGATGCTTAAATTATCAAATGGTAAATTTGAGGTAAGAATTATGTTTTAAATGTCGTGTGGTTGAAAATAGGTACACTTTAAGACAAAGAAGCCAATAAATAAGCCCCACCCACCCACCCTTGTCTCAGTTGTGATCAATTTTTTATTCATTGTCAGATAGAAGGGCGAAGTTTAATTGCAATGTTTATATTGCCGTACAAGGAATTACCAAAAAAAAACATATTTGTGGTATTATGGCACTGGTGAAAACGACCTATTTTCCGAAAAAGTAGAGAAAGAATATTCTTATTCTCTCAAAAGTAAAATTTGCAATTAAGTTTCGCCCTCTGGCCTCACAACGAATAAAAAAATTAGTCACAATTGAGATGGGGTGGGTGGGTGGGGCTTAACCTTTGATTTTCTTAGTACATATGCATAGTCTTCTTTCAACAATCAGATGCTTAAATTATCAAATGGTAAATTTGAGGTAAGAATTATGTTTTAAATGTCGTGTGGTTGAAAATAGGTACACTTTAAGACAAAGAAGCCAATAAATAAGCCCCACCCACCCACCCTTGTCTCAGTTGTGATCAATTTTTTATTCGTTGTCAGATAGAAGGGCGAAGTTTAATTGCAATGTTTATATTGCCGTACAAGGAATTACCAAAAAAAAACATATTTGTGGTATTATGGCACTGGTGAAAACGACCTATTTTCCGAAAAAGTAGAGAAAGAATATTCTTATTCTCTCAAAAGTAAAATTTGCAATTAAGTTTCGCCCTCTGGCCTCACAACGAATAAAAAAATTAGTCACAATTGAGATGGGGTGGGTGGGTGGGGCTTAACCTTTGATTTTCTTAGTACATATGCATAGTCTTCTTTCAACAATCAGATGCTTAAATTATCAAATGGTAAATTTGAGGTAAGAATTATGTTTTAATGTCGTGTGGTTGAAAATAGGTACACTTTAAGACAAAGAAGCCAATAAATAAGCCCCACCCACCCACCCTTGTCTCAGTTGTGATCAATTTTTTATTCGTTGTCAGATAGAAGGGCGAAGTTTAATTGCAATGTTTATATTGCCGTACAAGGAATTACCAAAAAAAAAACATATTTGTGGTATTATGGCACTGGTGAAAACGACCTATTTTCCGAAAAAGTAGCGAAAGAATATTCTCTCAAAAGTAAAATTTGCAATTAAGTTCCGCCCTCCGGTCTCACTACGAATAAAAAATTTATTGCAATTCTAATCGGGGCGGGTGGGTGTGTCATATTCTTCAGCTTCTTTTTCGAGATATATGTAGTTTTCTTTCAATAACACGATACATATTATATAAAACATGTTTCACGTGGTAATTTCTTATAAAGAAATATAAACTTTTGAATTAAGCTCCGCCTCTCGTCAGACAACGAATAAAAAAATGTATTGCAACTGGAATCAGGGTGGGTAGGTGGGGCTTATCCATCGACTTTCTTTTCGTAAGATGCATATTTCTCTATTAACAACAAAATAGTTAAAATGTTGTTGGTAAAGTTATTTTTAACACAATTAATATTTGAGATTACAAATACTTGAAGAAACTTAAAGCTCATTTGGGGATCCAAGCCTTCCGGGAAGCTTTACCGGATTGTCCATTGCCTCCAGAATCTCTTCTGATAAGATGGGGTTCATGATTGAACTGAAATATATTATTGCGATCATTTTGACGATATAAAAAGTTCGTTTATTGCTATTCATAATTTTGTTGTGTAATTTTAAATTAAATGAAATATTTTAGGTTATTATGAAATTTGACTCCACAGTGTCGAAGTGCATCGCCGATGGTCAATACTGTTGCCAACCAAAACATCTCAAACGTAATTTGATTTATATAAAAACCAACTTTACCATCTTAAAAACAAGAATAACTAGATTAGAGACCATTGGGCTGACCTTAAGTCGGTTTCTGGATGTAGTAGATCATCCTCCTCTAGGCATAAAAATGTATGTCCTAACCCACAAAAAAAAAAAAAAAATAGAAAAATATCTAATTTGTTACTTTGGTTTTATTTAGCCTAAAATCCGCTGTTTAATAATAATTCTGAAATTTTCCATTTGATGGTACCTCTGGCAACAGGACAAATTTCGGTGTCTTCTACTAGAATGCAAGTTATGGAAATTGAGAAAATCGAAAATGTTGTTAATCTGTTGTTGCAAGAGGAACTAACGTTTTCTTATGAAGATCATGAGAAAGATCATATTCCTTTAGACTGTATTAAGGCGATTAAGAAAAATCAACGTACATTTTCAAAACTATTATAATTTCTGTACGTCAAAAGTCAATGGAAAAAAAATAGGTAAAATGTGTGGGACTTTATGTTGTTCTTGTAAAAGTTTAATGCTAAAAGAAAACTGTCGTCGAGTACCCATAGAAATAGTTTATTTAAAGTTTCCGATATTTCACACCAAGTAACAGAATATATATACTTTAATCGTCTAACAACTATACAAACTATATAATCATAGAGGTCCATCAGAGTGTATAATCCAAAAATTATTGTTCTAACAATGTCATCAATAATATCAGTTGTCCACTAATAATTCGATTGGTACTCCTCTACCAGCTTAGCAGATTCTCCTAATATAGATCAGTACGAGTGATATGATAATAAGGGCACACCTACCAACGACCAAGAGTGTACAAGAATAGATAGGTACTTAGTAAAAACGCTATGCACACTAAGACATTGCAGATTAAGCACCTGTACAGCCCACTACTCAGTCTGCTTTTATCACAGACTGTCGTAGTCAAAAACGTCCTCATCTTGGTGTTGTTTGTATTGTTCAGTTCGCTAAGTGGGTCCCGATAACCCCTATGTGATACACGGAGGACAAGGCGGTTTTTGCGTTTGCTCCCTGACGTAATCCTGAACTGAAAACCTGTTGTTGTCAGGTCGATTGCCACTTTGCCGATACTTCAACTCCCTGCAAACAATCAAGTAATAAAGTTCCCAAGTTGTAATAATTACCTCGCCACAGCCAAGAAAGCCAGCTCGACGTTTTGCCCGCTTTTTGCTGAAGTTTCCATGAAAGCGACGTTGTATTCTCTTGCTAATCTTTCTCCGTCTTCTCTGCGCACTTCTCGGTCGCCGCCACAATCTGCTTTATTGCCTGAAGCGGAAACCCGTTTTTTGATAGAAGCGAAAGCAGAACCTTTAGGGGCTTTTTTGGATCAGGTAGGCAAGTGATGTTAATTTGTTCGTTTACTACTTTTTCTATAATCACTGCCCCCTGTTCCGTGCCGCCAATGGAAACTTACCCAATAACATTATCACAACGTCGTCTTGAGCGTATTCCCGGATTTCGCTCAGCCAAGCGCGTATATTATCGAAGCTAGTCTTGTTGGTCACATCGTATAAAAGTAAAAGTGCTGAAACATATTCTTAAGGGGCGAATTCACGTTTGGACTTCTTACCGTGTGCGTCTCTATAGTAAGCGTGGGTTACACTTCGGAAGCGCTCTTGGCCGGCGGTGTCCCATATTTGCAGTTTCACTTTGGCGTCATCTACGGTTACTACTTTGTTCTGGAAAATTATGTTTGCATCGTTTGGCTGGAAAATGGGGAAAGAGAGAGCAATGCATTCTCACCCGAAAATCTATACCAACTGTTGAAATAAAGTTGCCGCCGAGGAAAAGACCGTCCCGGAATTGCATCAAAATACACGTTTTGCCAACGCCGGAGTCGCCGAGCAGCATCACCTGGGGGTTTGGGTTAATTGCAGTGGCGTAGGCGGAAGGTAGCGTTTTTAAGTAATTTCAAGTTTTATTTAAATAAAAAATAAAAATGATTGTATTCATCTTATAGCTCGTTTGCTTTCACAATGTAACATTCGCCATTTTTAAATACACAAGACGAAAATTCATTTTTCCATACAGTTTAGAGCACACTGTGATTGAATTTGAGGCAGTTTTAAATTGTATGAAATTTAGTACTTGATACACTAATGATACGTCAACACAATGAATTATTAAAATAAAAGCATATGAGGAAGAACAGTATTTTGCAAAAGTTGTGACATTTCAAGTTATCATAGCATTCGGAGCCTGTAGAGTACAAGGATGTACGTTTCCCGTTTGCGTTTCTCTGTTGGAAATCTATATATAATCTTTGAAAATAGATGTCAAACTCGCTACTGTAAAATTTTAAATATACCTGAAAATCATCGTATAGACAGTAAATAGGTAACCAACATTGATGACGTTATAAAATACATATTTTAAATGGAATCGTTCTTTAATAACATATTCTAAAAAAATTCTGCATAACACATTTTTTGAAATTTTAGAAAGATTATAGCATAAGCTAAAAAATTATAGTAACCATTAATTTCTGAAATGAGGTACTTCGTGATTCGAACAAATATTTTTACCTTTTAGAATTAACTATACAGAGTGTCTACAAAGTAGATTAGATATTACGTCAAAGTTATACTCCTATTCAAACAGCATTTGCTAAAATTATTTTCAACTATACACGGTATTCTGTTTTTAAAGCGTAATATCCAACTTTTTTTAAACAGAACACCCTGTATATATATTTACGTGCCCCGACTCTTCTTAGACTTTAGAAAGAGATGATATATCGATAATTCTGATGCGACGTTACCAAATTATTCCAATTTAGTAAAAGGATTCATCTGACGAATAGCTGCTTTCATATTTTCTCGACGTTTCACGACCTCTAGACTAAGAAAAAAATGCTTTCCCGTTCCCATCTGTCTGTCTGTCATCTGCCTGTGTCGATTTTTATTAGACAGATAATCTCCGAAACTACTAAATCGATTGTTGTCAAATTTTATAAGTAATTTAAAAGTATCGTGTAAACGTCAAAACGCTAAACAAAATTTATCTACTCATCCCCACCAACAATTAAATGATGTAAACTCATTTTTTTTTCATGATTACATTTTATAAATTTATTTATATATATAATATCCTGTACTTGTGGTTTATGAATTCACCTTGACTTTATTACTTTTACAAAAATTTGTGTGCCATATTTCGCCACGAATGTCACATAACTGATATTTGGGTTACGCAGATAACGAACACCCGATCAACTGCAAAAAAGTGGCAGTTGAGTGATACAAAGTGATCCAAAAAAGGCTCTGAAGAACTCGAAAAAAAATTGTTAAAAAAATCCCTGCACCAAACTTTTGAAAATCGTAAACTCTATAATTCTGATTTGTTTTAATAGACCACATTTTTAATAAATAGATAAATAATAATTATTTATTTAATAATAATAATTTGCTAAAACGCGATCCACAATGTCATTTTTTACTGTTGACAGATGCCTTTTTTGACAATTTGGTTCAGGGATTTTTAATCATTTTTTCTTCAGAATCATCGAGTTTTTCCGTCATTTTTGGACCACCTGATATTGTGCAACAATATAAAGGGTGATTACAACATTAAAAAAATCTAATTGTCATGTTATCTGTTTTTTTTTTTAGAGAATTGGAATTTATGAAAACATCTTTATCTGTTTTTAAATGCTCTTCTGCTGATATTTTGATGTGTCCGTAAATAAATTAAAAAATGTTAGAAATTATCAATCTTGGCTATAGAAAAGAAAATAAAAATAAAGTAAGATGCATCAATAAAATACAGGGTGTTTTATATGAAAAATTTGAAATACTGTAAGAAAACACATAGTTATTTGTGTATCGAGGCTATTAAGAAGAACTTTTCCAGTTGATCGGACGTCGAGGCGTAGTCCAGACCTACAAATCAGATGAGGCCGAAAAAGTTCTTTTTAGCCAAGGTACACGCAACGTTTTATAAGTGACCACACATAAAAATAATTGGGTAATAGTTTTGAGAAGCCCTGGATATTTGGTAAAAACTAAGAAGTGCTTCTTTGCTCTTTTACTCAGAAAAAAATTTCCAACGGCGCTTTTGGCTTATTTATTTAAAAAAATGTCGAACAAAAACACAAGGCCAAGGACGCAATAATAAGTTTGAATACAAAAAAAGTGGCATTTCAGTACGAAAAAGTGACACTTCATGGACATCGTGGGAACATAAAAGGACTAGACACATTGTGAACTTTTGCATTTTTAACAAAATTTGTAAAAATTAGAATATATTGACAACATAACACAAAAAAATTGGTCTAAAGAGTTTAGACAGTACTTCCCTCGCTGTCGGGAACGTGACGACTGCAAGCCTATTATGTCTTTTTTGTATTACATTTTTGTAATTCTTGATTTAATCAATAAAACTAATCAACGAATCATTAACTTTTTTCAGACACCCTGTATAAGCAAATCTAAAAATATTAAATAAATCACAAGTGTAGACTCATCATTCTTTACACATTTAAGTATTTTTTTCAGCAAAATTTTGCGGTGGGGTCATCAAATTTTAGGGGGGAGGAGCAAATACATTTAGATCAAAATTTGACTATGCTTATGATAAATTTAAAACATCTCCAAGATTTCAAAGCATTCGGTTTTGTAGTTCCTGATTAAATCAATAAAATAAATTCACACTTTCATTAATTTTTTTGAGTCACCGTGTATATGCAAATCCAAAAAATATGAATGGAATGATAAATCACAAGTACAGATTTATTATATTTTGCACATTTAAGGTGGGATTTATTCGGCAAACTTTTGAGGTGACGTCATCAATTTTTTAGGGGGGATTAGCAAATACATTTTGACTAAAAATTTACCTTGCCTATGATAACTTTAAAACATGTCCAAGATTTCAAAGCATTCGGTTTTGTAGTTGCTGATTAAATCAATAAAATAAATTCACACATTCATTAATTTTTTTGAGTCACCCTGTATACGCAAATCCAAAAAATATGAATGGAATGATAAATCACAACTACAGATTTATTATATTATGCACATTTAAGGTAGGATTTATTCAGCAAAATTTGGAGGTGACGTCATCAATTTTTTAGGGGGGATTAGCAAATACATTTTGACTAAAAATTTGCCTCGTCTATGATAACTTTAAAACATGTCCAAGATTTCAAAGCATTCGGTTTTGTAGTTCGTTTAGTAAATCAATAAAATAAATTCACACATTCATTTTTTTTTTGAGTCACCCTGTATACGCAAATCCAAAAAATATGAATGGAATGATAAATCACAACTACAGACTCATAATAATTTGCACATTTAAGGTAGGATTTATTCAGCAAAATTTTGAGGTGACGTCATCAATTTTTTAGGGGGGATTAGCAAATACATTTTGACTAAAAATTTACCTTGTCTATGATAACTTTAAAACATGTCAAAGATTTCAAAGCAATCGGTTTTGTAGTTCCTGATTAAATCAATAAAATAAATTCTCACTTTCATTAATTTTTTTCAGTCACCCTGTATATGCAAATCCAAAAACTATGAATGGAATGATAAATTACAAGTACAGACTCACCCTGTATATTAAATTTTCGATCGTTTTATTACACTGAAATGAAAAATGAAGCTCACTGTGCACTCTCAAATAATCGTATATGTAGATATCAAATTTAATATATTCCCGCCGGAAAGCTATTGACAGCATGGTAAGAAATATTAAATAAATGTTTATCTATAAATGTTCTGAATAATATATACACATATTGCATATGTAATGAATAACCGCAAACGTCACGTAATTTTACCAGGAATTATGTAGCTGATTTATCTAGTCTATTTATTAGCAAAATTTAACAGATTATTTTTTTATTTTCTTTTAATAACAAAATATGTGCGTTTTAATAAAATTTATTCTATTTTAGAATCATATAATCTTGTTTATAGGCACCCAAATACGGACATAAATTGGTCTTTATGGCACAAATCAGTCAAAAATTGCCAAGCAACGATTGATTATTCATTTACATTAATTGATTATTCAAACAAGCTTCGATATTCAATATAATTTTTTTAAGTTGGGAAAATAATATTTCATCAAATCATTCCCTGGCCGACTTCAAATTCTTCTAAAATTTCTTTTGAATAAACGTTTTCCGCTTCTTCAGTTTGCATTTTGAAAATCGAATTATTTAACAAATGAACAACGTGGTATTCATAACAACATCAAAATAATAGCCATTATATCGGCACAATTCACACAATCTTGCCGCAAATACTCAATATTTCGTTAAAAATATTTTATGCTTTAAACATAATCTCCCTAAGTATGCCCTTAATACATAAATAACTATTACTTAAATAAAGTTAGTACGGTAGTCACACAGACGATGATAATTCTCTTATCAAATACTTATACGAGACTTGTAAAAACACTCTTAAAACACATTTGCGACCAACTATACGAAATGTTTAAAATTTTTCTAAAAAAAGCAAGGCTAAACGTTAAATTCTGATAAGTGCCTGTCCCCTTCCTCCTGCCGCCACTGCTGAAACCGTAAACCGCAGTCCCTTATCAATTACCTTGACAAAAATATCATAAGTCTCGTCATTTTTGATCGATTCCCGGCGGCTGTAAAACCCGTGCTCCTCTTCAGCAGGCACCGATCCCTTGCCCGTCCTCCCGGTCTCTTCGTCGCAGCACAGCTTCTTCGTCGGCCGAACGCGCACCACTCTCCGATAGTAAGTCGCTTCTTCCCCGTTCATCGCGCGCTTTCGAGCCCGACTGATAACCGGATTTCACCAAAGCAATAAACCTCGCATGACATATGGTAAGTCTAATACGTTCCCAGCGATAAAAACACTTCCTTTGTACGTCGATAATAAAAAATCGTCATTTATTGGGGGACACTGCTGAAAGCTCGTTGTTTGCGGAGCTTAATGAAAGCTCTCGATATTGCGCCGGGCGCTTACTAACCCAGTCATTTGATGTTTCTATGGATACTGCTCACCTGCTGGCGCTTTCCTCTATCGCGAATTTGTATCGTCCCCGACGAAAGTGAATAATTGGGGGAAGTGACGTCACCGGTGAATGCATTGCTCGCGAGGACTTACCGTGAAGCCGATGCCTACTGTGGCGGAAAAATTCCCAGACTGGAATTTACCGGTGTCGAATTTGACCAGAAGGGAGGTTTTGCCCACGCCGCTGTCCCCCAGTAGGATTGTCTGGAAGGAATACACAATTATTATTTATATAATAATTCGGAAGCTAAACAGATGAAACAAAAGAGGTGTTTTAGATTTATTATAGGGGAAACTTGCCTATGATGGCATAAGCACTTTTTTTTGGACCATTTAAAAGAAATTAAGACTCGGTCACTTTTGTAGCAAGTTTTGCGTATTAAGAAAGTTGAAACCATGTTAATATGCTAAACCCAGGGGCATCCCTTTAATTCATGTTTTCTATACATATGCTACATTTAATACAGATGCCAGTTTAGGATTATCCTGTAATTGAAAACATACAGAGACAGATTTCAGTAAAACCTCTAATTTCCTTATGACAGTGTACGTAAGTTGTTCCTTTAATGGCATCATATGTATGGGACCATAGGCAATATTAAAAACTATAGAGTCTTGTTTTTACTATAGAGAAATGTCATTTGTAGCCTCAAGTACAATGAGAGGCAAGAATGGTAGTACAAAAACATGAAACATTGTTTTTGAAAAAAAATGCAAAAAATGTCAAGCCTTTCATTTTACTCTTCATCTTTTGACATGTGTTAAAAAAATTGGTCGAAAGTTGTTTCGACAGAACTTCCCTCGCTCCTGAAATACAATGATAATTTTTTTCAATCACCCTGTATACGCAAATCCAAAAAATTTTAATGGAATGATAAATCACAAGTACAGACTCATCAAATTTTGTACATTTTAGGTATGATTTCGTCGGTAAACTTTTGAGTTGACGTCATCAATTTTTTAGGGGGGATGAGCAAATACATTTTGATCAAAAATTTACCATGTTATGATAACTGTAAAACATCTTCAAGATTTCCAAGCATTCGGTTTTGCAGTTCCTGATTAAATCAATAAAAATTTACGCATTCATTAATTTTTTTGAGTCACCCTGTATATGCAAATCCAAAAACTATGAATGAAATGATAAAATACAAGTACGGACTCATCATATTTTGTACATTTTAGATAGGATTTATGCGGTAAACTTTTGAGTTGACGTCATCAATTTTTTAGGGGGGATGAGCAAATACATTTTGATCAAAAATTTACCATGTTATGATAACTGTAAAACATCTCCAAGATTTCCAAGCATTCGGTTTTGCAGTTCCTGATTAAATCAATTAAAAATTTACGCATTCATTAATTTTTTTGAGTCACCCTGTATATGCAAATCCAAAAACTATGAATGAAATGATAAAATACAAGTACAGACTCATCATATTTTGTACATTTTAGATAGGGTTTATTCGGTAAACATTTGAGCTGACGTCATCAATTTTTTGGAGGGGATAAGCAAATATATTTTGAATAAAAATTTATATGCTCTTTATAACCTTAAAATATCTGCAAGATTTCAAAGCATTCAGTTTTGTAGATTCCAAATTAAATGTCAAAATGTTGTTTTATAGTTTTAATTTTGTTTCCAAAAATCTGGACGTTTCGGGTAAAAACTCTATTCGGAGTCATAAACTACATGTTTAAGACTATGTTATTTTATACAATTTAAAACCCATTTGCTATGGACAATTTTGAAGTGACGTTGTCGGATTAGTAGTGGGGATGATTAGAGAAATTTTGGTTAGCGTTTTACCATCTACATGATAATAATAATAATAACTTTATTCAGCCGTTATAAATAAATGCAAAATTTGACAATAATCCGCCCAATATTTTCGGAGATTATCTGTCTAATAAAAATCCGTGACGGTAAACAGACGCACAGACGGACAAACAGATAATCAGACGGAAACGGGAGACCTATTTTTTCGTCCTGTAGGGGTCATGAAAGGTCGAGAAAACGTAAAAGTAGAGAGCCGGCCGACGAACTCGCTTCCAATACTTCCTTCGCTTACGCTCGGGGAGTAAAAATTGTACGTCAGATTTGTAAACGTTATGAGGTTATTAATAAATGTTTTAAATGAGTACTATAATTTTGATCGGATTATTTGATAAAGCTTGTTTTTCTACATATAAAAATGTAGCTTGATGTAGAGGTTGCATAACAAAAAAAAAAAAGGAGAAAATTAATAACAAACGAAATAAACATGATATGAACATGAAACAAAATCAGACCCAAATAACTAAAAATTAAAACAAAAATATGTTAAAGAGAATCGCTTTCGTCAGTTACATAAGTTGGTTTAATAAAATAAAGAATACTTTTGGGTTGTATGTAATCCGGTAGTTCGTGACTTGTAAACAAATACTCTTATATTTTCTGTTTGTCTATACTTCTGTCAAAGTCGCATAATAATGGCTTGTTTAACCGAAAAAAAAAACGTATAGAAACCCTAATGATGGTAGTCTATGGCGATTGGCTTCGAAGCAGCGTCGGCCTGGCACATTTTAGGTCCCCGGCGAAAAATATTTTGGGGCCCCCTTCAGATAATATTCTTTTTAAAAAATCAAATAAATTTTTAGAGAAAACTGGACAAGATGAATGAAAAGCACTGAGAATAACACGTTCACGCCACTGTCATTTGTCCGGTTTTTTTTTTTATAAAATAATACTAGATTTCTCAGAAATTAAAAAAAGAATTTTAAATTTACTCTCTTGTTCACCACTTACTATTTTTTACTTTCTGAGCGTAAGCTAAGGTAGTATAATAATCGAGTCCATCGGACGAATGGCTACGTTTATGTTTTCTCTAGAATATGAAAAAGCAGTTTCCCGTTTCCGCCTGTCTGTCTATCTGGCGTCTGTGTCGATTTCTATTAGACACATAATATCCGAAATTACAAATTACTGGACCGATTGTTGTCACATGTTGTACGTACATTAGGAAATCATGTAGTTGATAAAACGCTAACCAAAATTTTGTTAATCATCCCCATCAACAATTTATGATGTCATTTAAAAAAATTTTATTTTTAATTTTTTTAATGTTATACGGTAATATACTCCTGTATGTGGTGTACGAATCCGCTTTGAGTTTTTTCCCTAAACGTCCAACAATATTAACAGTTTACCATTAGCATAGGATATCCCGACCATGGCTCAGTGTGTTGGCTTATACTATATGTTTATGACGTCATTACTAGAGAGCGGATTTCTAGGTTTAATGCTTTTTGTGAAAAATGTAAGCACTTCAAAATTTTTTTATATCTGTAACTATGATACAATTTGGAGTCATTTGACACATTTTTTTTTATGCTTATTTGTTTTTTTTTTCAATTTTATGCATATTAACACTTATATGCTAATTTAATGCTTTTCTCGACGAATATGAGTTTTAATGCATATTTTGTTCAAATGCCGGCCTTGTCGGGATGACAAATAGGTACTTGTTATTTATCGGCATCGTATCGTATGCATTTTACCTGGACTTGACCATTGAAGTACACTTACTCAAGACCCTTTCTGTGAATAGGTTCCGGTCGTTTGGGTAATAAAATTTTATTTTGGGATTGGAAAAATACTCCATAGATTTTATGACTTTAAATCCTTACTTCCGTTGATAATTAATTAAAGCTTTTAACCAGATGTTCTTTTTCGGCATTTTGCGGCAAGACCGTTGAAGATTTTCTAGAAAAAAGGATTATTGTACCCAACTACCTACCTTAAATTTTTCTAATGGAAACTTTTAAGTAAATGAACCGTTTATTTCACAACCATCAGTCTATCGCATCTGTCGTAGTACAGTGTTACTTATACCTACGTGGTTCTCCCTTGTTACATGTTGAGTACTTTTTGGTAATATTACTAATATTTTAAAAGAATGCCGAAAGTAAAATCGACGCCGGATGGGTGGATAAGGGATTTTCCAGAATTAAAATTAGAAAACAACAAAATATTCTGCAGAGCTTGTGTGAAAACCGTAAGTCCACTAATTTTTTTTTATCTATTTTCCTTTGTTAATCCTGTATATGTACGTTGATTTAGATTCAAAGTGATAAAAAATATAACGTGACGTAACATGTCAGAACGACTCTTCATGTAGAAAGGAAGAAAATGTTTGGAGTTTCTAAAATTAAACAGCAGACCATACATGAATCTGTTGCATCTACTTCCACAAAAGATGAGCAGTTTCAGTTTAATTTCGATTTATGTAAAATGATGATCCAGTGCAATATAACTTTAAAAAAATTGGAGAAAGGCCCTCTTCAAGAATTCCTTGAAAAACACTGCAATCGACATATTCCGGTTGAAAGTACTCTCCGAAAAAATTATGTATGCCCAAGTTTACAACGAAATTAAACATCGCATTGGAGATAATTATTTATGGTTCGCTGTCGATGAAACAACCGATAGTTGTGGAAGGTACGTGGCAAGTTTAATTGTTGGAATCTTAAATGAAAATTTCCCTAGTGGAGGGTATGTAGTAAGTTTGAAAATGTTAGATAAAACAAATAGCAATACGATTACCAGATTTGTAAATGACAGTCTTACGTCATTATTTTTGCCAAATGCCGTACCGGCGAATAAAATTTTATTGATAATCTCGGATGCAGCTCGTTATAGGTTGAAACCAGGGAATAATCTAAAAATATTGTACCCCAATTTAATTCGCTCTACTTGCATTGCCCACGGTTTAGACAGAGTGGCTGAAGGAATACGTTTGCAGTTTCCTACTGTTAATAAATTAGTGGCAAATGCTAAAAAGATTTTTGTTAAAGCCCCACTAAGAGTGCAACATTTTAAGGAAAAATTTCCAAACATACCATTGCCCCCAGAGCCGATTATATCGAGGTGGGGAACATGGTTACAGGCCACATTTTATTATGACAAATATATCAAAGAATTTGAGGAAGTAGTTACGGAGTTTAGCGAAGATTCTTCTCAATCGATTAAAGATTGCATAAATATTTTGGAAAACAAAGATTTGCGACAAGATCTAGCTTTTCTAAGGCTTGCAATTATCAATTCGTATGTGAGGTAATAGAAAAGTTAGAAAAACCCAACATGTTGTTGGTAGATGCCATAAACTTAGTGAAAGAATTTAAACAACAAGCAAACGCAGTAAGGGGTGATATTGGTACTAGAG